GGCGTTTGCGATGCGCGAGGTCGTACAGGAGTACGAGGACACGGGGAGTATGTCGGATTATGCGTCGCTTTCGGATGTGGATGAGTATTAGATGACGTTTGTCGCCTTTGTGTACGAGAGAGATCGTCGCCCGCTTTGTCTTTTCTTCCTTCTTGTGTCATCTTTCACGCAACGCAATCACGGATATTTATCACATAGTCTCTTCTCATTTGTTTTCTGCATATCACTGTACTATACATCACTCGCTACCCAAAACCTACATAGCCCTAGAACGTCTTTCAGATTTGTGTTTTTACCTGTATTTCTGTTGCTACATCAAGATCTATCGTAATATACGGTCCGTCTTGCGACTCACTCTCGAGTACGAAAGAGCAGGATCGAGCTTCCGTCATTCAACCAGACACTTGTCGAAAATGCAACTTCGTTCCAGATTGCGTGGTCTGAGTAAATGTGTTCATATGTTCTCCCGCTGACGGCTATTCCAGTTCAGCGAACCGAACGTCCGCATTCGCCTCCAGCCATGTTAGCCATTTCTTCAGATACGGCCCTCCGTGTTGAACCGTATCTGAGTCGCCGACGACGCACTAGCAGGGACCGTATCAGCACAGCCAACATTCGCGAAGACACTCGTGGGCATACCAAATGTCGCTTCGCGCGGGTCATCGCGACTGCACCGTTTCATTAGTGACATTGCAGCAACCGACAGTGTCCGTGGATGGCGAGCACGCACCGTTCAGCCGCCGCTTTTCCTTCAAGAACCCTACTTCTCTCTGTGTCACAACGTCAATGATCATCGATTTGGTTAGGAAACAATAATAAAACGAAGCGCACCTTCTCATTGCTCCGTACGAGGCTGATCACCACCGCCTCCTTCTCGCGGCCTTGCATCCCGTCGACAGTCCCAATTTCGAGTTCGGGGCCGTATGTCTCCCTCAGGAGCGAAGTGAGCAGCGTCACCTGGGCTTGGTATCTACAACCGCAAATAAGCCATGGCATCAGCAGGCTCAGAGATGAGACACCTACGGAGTGATAACGGCAATCTGAGACGGAAGTACGCCCGCCTCGACCTGCATTGATTCAAGTTGCCCACCTCAGCCTGCCGTTTCCACACAACAACTGAAAAGAAGCACTCACCAATCTCTCGACCCACCGCTTCACAACCCCCGCTTCATTCTCGTTACACTTGCTCCCCTCCTCCGCGCCGCCGCCGCCCTTGGTGTCATTGTCCCCGCTGCCTTCGAGCCGCTCGTAGAACTCGCATCCGGCCGTATCGAAGAACACAATCGGCGTGCCCAGCACCTCCTTGATACTCTCCGCGTCGCTGGCTGCTTGCCATGCCCGCGTGCCCGGGAGATCCGAAAGCAGGTGCGCGGACACGCTCTCTGCGCTCTTGAGCCTCGAGGCGTAGAGCGTCGCGGATGGGAAGGCGCAGATCTGGGCGTGCATGCTGTGCAGACCAAGTCAGGTTAGGGACTTGTAATCTAAGAGAAGGATGGTTGGAGGGGGGCGTACCGGTACTGCACATTGAGCAGCCGCTTGATCCCCGGGCCGTACATCCTCTCGAGCCTGTCAAACAGGGTCGTCTCGAGCGAACGGGGTGGTCTGAGCCCCGGCCGCCTTTTAGCCTTGCGATCTTTCCGTTCTTTCTTCGCTCCCGGTTTTGACTGATTTGCCTCGGGAGTGGGGTTCTCGACTGTCAAATCCTTGATGCCATCTTCAATGTCCTCCATGCCCGCATCGCCGTGCACGCTCTCCACATCATCGCCATCGCTTCCGCTTCCGCTGGTGCTTTCCTCTGTATTGCCGTTCTCTTTAGCAGCAGGAGCCGGCGATGGCTTCGCGGTCGCTTTCTCGCTGTCTTTCTTCACTGCCTTGCTAGCTGCAGCATCTTTCCCACCAGCTACTTTGCCGTCTTTGGCCTTCTTCGACACTTTCGACTTGTCAGTGGATAAGATAGTGGGCGGGAGTTGCATGGGATCGCCAGCTAGAATAAGTTTCTGCGCTTTGAAGATCGGGACCCAGCAAACCTGTTAACCAGCCATAAGCAACACATCGTTTAGCTCAGATGAAAACGCCATAGAAGAAGGGGGAAAACTCGAACATACCGCTTCCATAGCCTGCGTCGCCTCATCGATAATAACCACATCGAACGAATGGTTCCTCAGCTGCCTTCCCCCCGCCGAGTGACACGTCGCAAGCACAATCTGTCCCCCCCTTACATCAACACTCCTTCCATTGACGAACAGGCATACCGCACCTGTGACTCCCCAAGCACAGCCCTAACCACGCCCCCCTCGCGCTGCCTATACTCCTTCCTGAGCGCCTTGACCTCGTCCCACATCTTACGCCTTTCCGCACCGCGCGGCCGCGCCTTCGCCCCGCCCTTGCCCTTGCCCGAGAGCACGTCGAGCGTGGCTTCCAGCTCCGCTTTGACGTCCTTGGCCAGCGCAGCCTACATCACGCGTTCGACCCAAGGTCAGAGAACGGCAAACCATGATGATGATGATGATGATGATGATGAAACGCAAACGGACGAACCTGATCGCTCCGCCCAGCCCGGACCTCTAGCGTCGCCTCCAACACGCCCTCGTGCGCCATTACACGCGCCGGGTGTCCGATGCGCGTCGCTGTGAGCTTCGCAGGCGCAGCAGCTGTCGACCCTTTACCAGCTGACCCAGAGCTACTACCAGAAGAGGTGGGCGCAGGGAGGGCGAGCAAGCGCTCGAGGATGTTGTCCACCGCGAGATTGGACGCGCCACAGACGAGGATCCGTTTTGGCTTCTTCTCCTGATCTTGATTCGGGTTCGAGGGCGTGCCGGTCGATGTCAGAGATGTAGATGAGGAGGGGGGAGAGGCGAGCTGGCGGATGATCTCGATAAGCGTGTGGGTCTTGCCCGTACCTATAACAAAATCAATTCCGATAAACACAGGCGCATTCTGATGGTACTGAGCGAGCGACGCACCTGGCGGCCCGTGTATACACGCAACCTCGCCCGCCGAGAGCGCGAAGCGCACCGCCTCTTTCTGGCTCGCGTTGAGCGACGGGTCGTAGAACTGGATCTCTTCGACGCGCGCTGGTGACGACGGCTCTGAGCGCGGGGAGATGCCGAGAAGCACGCGGGTGAGGGCTGTAAGCGGGTAAGAGGACTTGTCGTCGGCCTATGGAGGAGGATCATGAGCTGTGAGTCATGAGCTGGTGGAACGTTGGGGGGACGCACTTTGCGAGTGGAAGGAAGGCCTGTCTTCTCGAGCTGGTCGATTGTTTTGTCCATCCTGGTAGAGATGAATGTGTAAGGATGGGGAAGAGCATGGTAGAGGATGGGTGATAGGTGGAAAGAGCATACCGATCGTAGGTAACGCTGTTAGCCAGCTTCACTACACGGGCGCATTCTGGTATTTCAGCGTCTTCAGAGGAGGTTTCGGATGGATCGAGAGCAATGACGATTCGCGTATCCGTAACCTGACAAGCAATCAGCAGCGCGTAATGGCGGAGAAAGACGTGAATAGGGACGACGAACCTTGTACACAACGCCCTCGATCGCCTTCATACTCTTCTCGCCTCCACCCGTCCCGCCCCCCGCCCCAGTCTTCTTCCCCTTCGGCGCCTTCTTCCCTCCAGAACCAGCAGCATTCTCCTCTATTCGAGCAATATCCCCAGGCCTACGATGTTATCACATAAGCCACGTCCTCCCAAGGGCTACCCAGACTCACCGAAAAGAGTGCGGCGGAAACACCGCATCCGTATGCCACGCCGATGGCCGCTCGAGCTCTACAAGCCTACACTTCACCAACAAACCCAGCTATCAGCTCAAATCCCGTCCGGCTTCTCGAAAGGGTCGGGAGGAGGGGCGGAAAACAACGGGTAAAAACGACGTACGTCTTTCCGCCAAGCCCGACGCCGACGCTCGCAGTGCCGAGCGCGCCGAGCGCAAGGCCGCGCTGCTCGAGCAGCTTCGGGCTGCAGTTCGTGAGCAGGAGCGAGGAGCGCTCGATCTCGGCGTCACGCTCGAGCTGGAGGAGCGCGCGTTGGCGGTCGATGAAGGCGTGCAGCTGGGCGTCGGTGGTGGGTTCGTGTGACGATGACATCGAGGTAGTGTTTGTTTCTGAGCTCTTTAACAGGACGGGCTCGCTGTGAGATGGAGAGAATGTCGAGATGACCGTTGAGTAATAAGTGACGCGCGTCTGTACCGTATAAGGCGCCGACGCTTTCTCGATGATAAGATTAGATCCGCTATTCTTGAAGTGGGTGCCAGCCACCGAGACACGCATTCAGGGTGTGAAGGGTAACGCGTTATAACGTCCAATTGCAAGAAGTATTATATTGTACAGAGCTCAGCATCGTGCATTATATAAAACATAGCAGAACGATAGCTTCTACACAAGTCGAGGCGCTCGACCAAACATTACCAGATCAATTGACCACTAAAAAGTAAAATCGTCAGCGAGCACACTCTCATAAACCTCAGTCCTACATACCCATCGACAAAGTACTCCCCGCCAGTCATATACGTCGCATGGTCCGACAGCAAGAGAATCGCCTGACCCGCCATCTCGTGTGGCTCAGCAAACCGCCCCAGGGGTACATGAGACGCTTGATACTTTCGGACCTTCTCGTCCATGCCAGCTGTCTGGTCGGTGTTTACTACACACAGAAATCTGAGCGCTGCTTTGTTAGTGATATAGAGAAGAACGCTCACCGTATCCAGGAGAGAGCGCGTTCACGCGGATGCCGTTGGGTGCCCACTCGGCGGCGAGACCCTTGGTGAGGTTGGAAAGCGCCGCTTTCGAGGAGTTGTAGAAGACCTGCATAGTGGGATACATGTTTACTCGTATATCACCGCTGATGACCAGCAGAACGCACCTGAGTCAGAGGCTGGTTGGTGCCCTGCTGGTTGATAATCTGAGAGCTCATAGAGGAGGTAACAACGATCGAGCCGCCGCTCTGCTTCCCCATCCATATTCTGCCTCCAACATCAATATCGAAGAGGTCAGAGGTCACAGACGCACGTACTTTGCGGCTGCACGGGCGGCGTTGAAGACACCGAGCACGTTAACATTGTACACCTTCTGGAAGTCTTCAGGGGTAAGGTCGATGGCGGGTTTGACGACAGACACGCCAGCGTTCTGAAGCGCATATACGCGCATATGAGCATCACGAAACCGAAAGCCGAATCCTTAGAGGAGTGCTCACCGCGACCATCCCAGTGACAGGCCCAAACTCCTTGTCGATCTGGCCAAAAACCTTGGTAACCTTCTCTCCATCCGAGACGTCGCACTGGTAAGCCTATCCCGAGTGACATTTAAGCTTAATACTAGAGATCTCCAGCGCAAATGTGGCTCACCTTGACAGGAACATCGAACTCCTTGCTGATCTTCGCCGCGACCTCTTCAGCATCCTTTGAGCTCCTATTCAATCATGCTTCAGCACCTACGATCAATCCCAGGAGGTGAAGAATTACCTGTAGATGATGGCCACTTTGGCGCCTGCGGAAGCGCACGCGCGACTGAAGGCGGCGCCAATGCCGCGGTTCCCGCCAGTGACGATGATGCACTTGCCTGCGGGACGGTGTACTAGTTAGACCACGACTAGAGTGTACCGGGAGTGATTTGGAATAGAACCTCACCGGTGAAATCGATGGTAAAGCCTTTGGGAGCCATTTTTTTCTTGGATGCAAGCTTTGAGGGAAGAAGGGATGAGATGAAGTCAGACATGCTGAGCGACGGCCTGCGTTATAAACTGGAGCCGACTATAAGGCATCCCGTAAAGTTGGCATATGGTTATCCACAAGCCAAGTTCAGTGGGTGGAGGACGCGACGTCATGAGCGACGTCAGGAGGGTGTTGGCGGCAAACCGCCACGCGACTTGATTGTCCCCACGATGCATGATACATGGGCTGACAGCAGGAAGTCCTCAAAACTGTGATACATACAGTTACATTATAACGGGAGCATAAACATAGGGAGCAATGCGCGTAAAGAATCCCAAAACATCAAACTGTCGCCCACTCCTCGCCACTTCCAGAGCCCACCACAAGCCCACCACCACCCAAACAGAAGTCCACGACCCCACTCACAAATAAAACATCGTATCCCTCACTCCATCCTTCGCCACTCCTCCCCTCCACATCCTCCTCGCCTCCTGCATAACCCCGTCCTCACTGCTTCTCCACCCCTCCTGCCCCTGGCCCGCACCAGGCACCAAAATCTTGCGGATATAGCACCGCCCGCGCTCGCACGCGATGTCGGCATAGTACGCCGGCGGGACGAGGCTCACCGCCTTGGTCGCGCGCATGAACGTGTAGCTCAGCGCGTGCGCGAGGCCCTGGATCGGGTCTGCGGTGAACCCGTTCTCGTCGTGCAGCATGAAGTAGTGCGTCGGGCGTGCAGTGCCTTTGAGGCCCTTGTGAGCTGGAACTCAACGTGTCAGCCCATGTTGACGTTATTAGAGAGGGTGAGCGGTGGGGTTTACCTTGAAGATAGAAGTCGAAGTCGTAGACGGCGGTGATCCCTCGGTCGACGACAGTGCCAGGCTTGGGGTTCCCGTCCGGTTCAGCCCACCTCTGCTCGGTAGGGTAGGTGCGGGCATTATGACGCTTGCCGCAGATGATGATCGACAGCTTCGGTTCGTACGGCTTATTGGGCTTGTCGTACTTGCGGAACGCCTTCTTGATCTCCGGGAGCTCGTCCTCGCGCACAACCTTGTATTGGCCCTACGAGTATGTCAGCTATGGATACGCTCGGGGAAATGGCAAGTGACGACGTACCTCGGAAACGCCGTCACGGAAGATGACGATACGCTCGGGAAGAGAATTCTTGTTGTGCTTCTTGTACAGGTCGATGCGCTGGATGACCATGTCTCCAACATCGGCGATCATCTAAGGTATAACATGAATACTTTCTCCATGAGTTTTCTTCGTGCTGCTCACCTCCTGACGTGCCTTCTGGAGTGCCAAGCTCCCCGGATACTGAGCAAAGTTGTTGTCGATACTCGCCACAACCGACGCAATTGATGCTACACCCACAGCAAAATCAGCTTCCGCCATATACCTGGCAAAACATGTAAGCACTCACGCGCCCACTTGAAGCTCCCCGTCCCCGTCGAATGCGTCACATCCATCCCCATAAGCATCGTCGGCCTCTCAAACAGCCACCTCCCGCTCCGCTCGTCTAGCTTATGATTCACCCCGCCCATCTTCATATTGATCTTCAGCGCGACGTTTGCCCAATACATCGCGCTCCCCTTGTCCTTGCGCAGCTGCGTCGCCTGCACACACACCGTGCTCACGCCAACCTCAACATCGCCCGCAAACTTGATCGCATCGTACAGCGCAACCTCCTCACCCGGCAACACAACCAGCACGAGCTGCGCCCCACCCCGCTGCGCGTCCACAAGCGCATCGCGCACCACGTTCGCCACATCAGCGCCCTTCTGGCGCGGCAGCACAAGATCCTTAACCTCAGGGTCACTCGTGACCTGCATCCCGCTGACGCCGCACATCCTCTTGAGCTCAGCGACCTTACCCCTTGCCTCGTCCTTGCCCATCCCGCGCGTGCCATCCACGATGCAGAGTACCGCCCACCGCGCGAGCGTCGCGCCCACCGCGAACTTCACGTTCCTCAGGTTCCACGCACCCGCGCTGATCTCGGGCGCCTTGCGCCCCGAGTACGCGAGGCCGGGCGGGGGCAGAATGCGCCCCGGCACGACGGCCATCTTGTCGTCGACGTCGATGCCGAACGCGCCGAGCACCGTCGCGCGCGGGTTGTTGAAGCCGAGCAGCGGGAGACCTTTATGGAGCTCGTCGGAGGCGTTGTGGGCGGGCGGGCGGCATGCAGTGTTGATCATCGCTCTCGTCTGTGTCGTGGAGAGGTCGTTGTGGAAGGGCTGGTCGGCGAGGATCTCGCAAATCTCGGCGGGGAAGTAGATTGGGCCGAGGGGTCCGTCGTCGTCCTTGTCCTTGCCTTTTCCTTTGCTCTTGCCCTTGCTCTTGCCCTTCTTGTTTTCGCCGCGGGGAGGTGTGACGTCGATGAGAAACAGTTCGGGACGCTGCAATGTAATCTTCCAACCTAAGGCCGGCCATCAAACTTGGTCGAACACACGTCCTGAGGCAGGAGCACTCACGCTCTTTGAAATACTGCTCAACGGTGACCATCCGACCCAGCTCCCTGCAAGGGAAACTGTGTTGCTTCGCGTTCTTACCCGCTAGCCCCGTCACTGTGTAAACTTTCTTCGTGTGGGCTGTAACGATCTTGACATTGTGGATAAAGTCGGCGAGCTTCGCGCCACGATCATGCCTGGCATACTCGTCCATAGCCCTGTCCAGCCTCATTGGCTGGTAGAACGCCTTCGTCTTGACGTGGACGTTGATCGCCATCTCGCCGTGGATCGGGCGTACCGAAGAGAAGAACCCTCTGCACGCCTCGAGCGCGCCACCGAGTGCAGTAGGAGGTTCTGCATCGCGAAAGAAATACTTGTTCTGGCCGACGAGGACACCGTTGGCGCGAGCGTGAGCCGAGCTGACGAGGTTGAGCGCCGAGATAATCGGGGCGATGTCGTGGTTGCGATAATCTGGGTCTCCGCTGACGTATCTGCGTCATGAGTGTTAGCCACCTTTACCAGCGAACATGTCGTGAAAAGGTCACTTTTCGATGACACCGAGACCGATCTCTCGCGCAAACTTGACGGACAAAACCAAGCTGCAAGTATACTCGTTCCCGTCGTGGTCCCGCTCAGGGTAGCTGACAGGGATATCGATGGCATCGAGCAGCTGCACAACGGCGACGAGCTTCTCGCTCCAGTCGTGCGCGACCTTACCAGCCATACCCGCCTGCGTCCACGCATCCGTGCGCTCGGCGAGCTCGAAGATGCGCTTCTTGAAGTCCCTGTTGCGCTTCCCAGCCGAAGCGGGAGAAAACTCCACATCGTACTCGTACCACGGGCCCTCCGGCACGTTCATGCCGAAGAAATTCGCCCGAAGCTGGATAGGGGCGCCCGCAGTTCCGTAGTCAGGCCGCAGCGGCATGGGGAGGAGCCCGTGCTCCTGGTCAACCTCGGTCGGCTGCCTGGCAGGTGCATCTAGCGAGAGTGCGTTGAGCTGGTTGACGAGATTGATGTCTGAGTTGTCCGCGATGCGGGCGTCGACGGTCGCGGGTGTGTTAGGTAAAAAGACACTACACCCATCGGAAGCGATCAGCTCGACGACAAACGGGGCGTTGCCCTCCAACTGGAGGGTACGATGCCAACTTACCCTTCGCCGCCGCCTCGGGCACCGCCTTGACCAGCGCCGCGTCCTTGTCCTTGTCCACGACCTGTACCGGGCCCTCCGTGACCGAATCTGTCCCCGCGAGGCCCAGGAGAAGAGTATCCTCCACTGGAATCACGGGGGCCTCCTCGGTCACGCTGAGGGCCGCCTGCGCTGCTTCCGCCGCGCGAGTCGCCTCGTCCACGAGGCCCACCCCTGCCGCGGCCGCGACCTTGACCTTGGGTGTTACCTGATTGCCTTTGTTGTTGGCTCATTCTGGTGTTGTTGATGTCTTGTAATTTGATGGCTTGAGTTGAAGTCCGAAAAGCGAAGAGATGATAGTGGGTCGAGAGGGGACGCAGGAGATGGGAAGACGACAAGCTCCTGTACATATTGCTGCGGCTCCGAGATTTCTCACGTCCCCCTATGACTCTATCCTCCCAGTCGTAAATATTGATTTCAGTCAAAGTCCAGCAGGTTCTCGAACTTCTCAGGTCACCGCTTGCTGAAAGCACCAAAACCTTTCTAAAGACATAATCGCGTGCATGCCAGGCGGAGAATGCGAGGCAGGAGACCTGAACATGGTGCGCCAGCAATGTCGTAAACAGTAAAAGTGCCGAAATCCGCACGATCGCCTCAACATTTGACGACGACTTCACGCCTGCAGTGCGACGAGTTTTTTCTCCGTCAACGTCAGGACAGTGTCCCTCCCCTGGCCTCAGCCCTCAACACAGTTCGTCCCAATACTCACAGCCGCTAAATGCATCCCTGCTTGGAAATCCCAGAAATTCGTTCGGAGATATCCTAGCACACCGATGAAAAACGGGACGATCCCTCAAGTCTCGTCGCCCTTGCAATGACGTGCAAAGCATTCAAGGATCCTGCTCTCGACGTACTCTACTGGCAGATTCCTAGCCTTGCAAACTTGCTCATGTGCATGCCGAGGAACTTGTGGTCGCTCAATAACGAGGAGGTGAGCTTTGGTCTTTCGGTGTTTATTTACGCAACGTGTGCCTTCGACCACAACCTAATAGCCCTCGTCGCAGCCAATAGTGCTCTCATTCTGCCGTACAATGCTGCGAGCTGATTGGATCGTTTTGCAATCTTATGCTCTTCGTCTGCGGTCTATATACGCTGATGAACCTGTCAAGATGCTTGTAGACTCGGACGCTCTCAGTGCTGTAAGCCACTATAGCGGCACTAACCTCCTTCCAAACCTGCGGGAACTCCGCCTGTACCACGAGAGCACTTGCGATGACCTACTACTTCGCAATATTGTGCACGTTCCGCAGATTTACCTTGCGCCGCGCGTAACAACGCTCTCGCTATCAAATCTGTCGTCAAAGTCTTTACACGTGCTAAGCGTTGCTATCCAAAGGTACCCCCTGCTCAAAACCATCCGCCTGGCTATACGAGATGCAGTTGGAGACGAGCTTCTGGAGATGCTGGAAGGAGTGGACACTCTTAAGAGTCTTTGTTCGTTTGAACTCGTCCTCGAGGACAAGTATACTTTTCCACTTTCGAGGATGCTTGAAGCGCTCGGCACCCTATCTCATCTCGATGATATCTTACTAGAGTGTTCCAACATCGATCTCGCCCTTCCTCCCACTTTCCTTACATCTGACGACAATGCACCCGCGTTTCCCGCACTTGCAGCCCTTTACCTATTCAGCAACGCACGCCAGATAGTGCACATCATGCATTACATGCGCAAACTCCCTAGCCTAACGGACATATTCGTCCGTTTCACCGATCTTATAGAAGACACCTCAGTGCCTCAAGCGATTGAGGCGCTGACTAAGGCTCTCTCCGCAGCGGAATCACCCATCCAAGGGATCGACATCAGCTTCCCAGAAACCGGGGACTACTCTGATTTAGTTTCCTTTCATGCGCTCCGCCCATTGTTCAGGTTCCAACAGCTACGGTCATTCCATCTGACATGCTTTCCACCCCCTTCCCTCGATGATGCGATGCTGACGGAGCTTGCACGAGGCCTCCGCAAACTTCACACGTTAGAGTTACAATGGAAGGCGGATGCGCAGACCAATAGTCGCCCTAAGGTTACGTTCACAGGGCTTCGAGCGTTACTCCGCCACTGTCCCAACCTCCAACACCTTTCACTGGCTGTTGATACAACGGTACCCTGCAACGACGACTACTCACACACAGCTCCGTCGGTCGACGATGTATGCCATTCTGAGCTCAAGACTTGGGAGGTAGGGGACTCGCTAATCGGAAATGCCGACGTTCAGCGTGTTGCCATCACATTGGCAACTTGGACTCCACATCTCCAAGATATTGCGGTCACAGCGGAAAAATCTAGCTCTCTTACGAGCAAGGCGTACAACGCGAGGACCAAAGCCTGGAAACAGGTAAACGATCGTATCGAATGCTCCAGGATCGCACGAGTCCACTACCTCTGGTACATGCCCTCAGAGTAGGCCCGGCCGTGGCGACAGGTCCGACACAATCTTGGAAGCGCCTCGCGCTTTGTGAAGGATTATCGGAGTAGTACACGAAGCAGTGATGGCGGGCGATCTTGGATTCGGATTTGAGATTTGAAACTTAGTATCATAACTTGAATGATAGTGTAGTGTTCTTACCCACCGATAACCTCTCTTTCTTTGGCCCTGCTATGCCTTGAACAAATGGAAATCTCGGTGCGAAACTCAACCTTCTATCGCAAAATTAAGGACACATGCTTGAGAGTCACTGAATGGGTCGCGACTCTAAATGAGGTACTCTCACGCGTTGTTTCATGACTTCAAGTTCTCCTCTCCTGGCTCATCGGCTGTACCTCTAGTAGTCAGGCCGTGAAATCTATCTGCTTGCATGCGGGCGATAACGTGGTCCGACTGTCTGGGACGTGTGAAGATACTCGGTTCCGTCTTGCTCGTGTTTCAAATGGCTGCTTCGAGCACATACTGCCCATCCGGGGTTTCCTCACGTAATCTTCGCTCGTATGTGAGTAATCGGGTCATTCTGCCGCCTTGGCCGGAATGACCGAATGTTCTGTCTTCAACCTACGCTCAGGGTGGCTCCATTGTCGGACTTATTCACCCGGGCGCTCCGACTAAACTGCACATAAGTACTAAAGCTTAACCGCGCAACATAGCTTTTCCCGGTCGACGACGCCATCCTTCTTCCTGTCCTTACGCTGCCCGACATGGCTCCCAGTCCCGCAACAGCGATGTGGGTCCCCATTGTGCTTGATTTGACGTTGAGCTAATGACAAGACAGGCAGGGGCCCATGCTCCTGGGCACCATACTTAACGTCCTGCTTTATGGAGTCTTCATTGTCCAGGTGTTCACTTGGTATACGAACTACAAGAGGTGCGAAACCGTGTGCCAGAGATATCTCTCGAGTTAACGATCCCCCGAACAGGGATCTTCCGCTGATCAAGACCCTCGTACGACGGCCCGTGTTTGCTGAGTGATGCTTGAGCTTATGCAACATCCAGGTGGTGATGCTCCTGTTCGCGAGCACGCTCGAGATTGGCTTCATCCTGGTGTATATGTATGAGTGCCTTATAATCAACTTCTGTGAGTCTGCTACAGACCTCCGTCCCGTCAACGCACTGAACTAACGTCTGGGTAGATAATGAGGCGTATCTAATGACAACGACGTGGGGTAAGCGTCTTGTTTTGTCTTTCATGAGCGTGCGATAACCGTCATGTCAATCGCTAGTCTTCTACATAAGTGAGTCTCTGGTCACCTGTCCTATCGTTATTCTGACCACGTTCTTCAGTACCTGCTTTCATTGTACGAGTCATCTTCTATGCGATTTTTCCACTTCTCAACTAATGCCAAACTAGGGCGTCGTCCAGGCTCTCGTCCAGTCATTTTACGCGTGGAGAGTAAACACCCTCCTGTCCGGTCTGAGGAGGAAAATCGCCATATCCCTAATATGCATCCTCGTCGCCATTGGACTCCGTACGTTAAAGGTCATTGAAAGTTTACTATTCTTAACAATGAACTTTCAGTCTCTACCATTGGTACCGGAGCCGCCACACGGAGGGTTGACAGGTTCAGCGAGTTCCCGCGGATTGCTGTCCCCGTGTGCATGTGGCACGGCAGCGCGTTCATATGCAACTCCGCGCTCACCGGCGTCCTCCTTCGAAGTTTGGTGCGTCATGATCACTCGCTAGTTTTCTCGAGTCTCCTCACATGATGTTCGGATCACCAGTTTAAACCTGAAACATCTTCGATACGCCCACGGAACATTCTCGATGGTCTGATTATCTGTATGTCTTTCCTTAAATGACCAGCTACTTGTTTTGACGATTTGGTAGTTACGGTCCAGACGGGCTTGTTCCCAGTCGTGTGGGCCATCATTAACCTCGCTTTATTTGTTGCAAATGTGAGCTCCTTCTCCACGGTGTCTGTAGAAATCCATTGATAAGATATTTTTCCATAGAGTAATGGAGCGTACGTCTTCAATCCAATTCTCCTTCGACCATGGCTGTAACTAAAGTTGACCCCTTGGAAAGATACATGTTCTTTAGCTTCAGCCTTTGCAACGTCTACACAAACTGCATGATGTCCAACCTGAACGAGCGTTCGATATGGAAACATGAGCTACTACCGGTGCGCAGAGAAGACGACGATGAAGTAAGTCCATTTTCCTCTCTTAAGTCGTTGAGCCGGGATGATTGAACGCACAAATAGGAATTTACGGCGATTGTGTTCGGCCCTCGACCAGCACTTGTCGACGACCCTACGATCAAGCGGTGACGATACGCCTAGTGCAGATTTCATTCCGGGTACCTCACCCACAAGCACTTTTGGTACGCCATTATGACACCTCCAGTGATGTGTGGCTAAAGATGTCAGATTATACATAGTGGGCGAATATGGTTCCCTGACTAGCATCTTGGCACGGACCAAAGTAGTGTATATAGATATATACCCATCCTTAATCTTCGAAGGCGATTAAACGTAGCGATTATCCTGAATATGCATTAATGCCAAGTCTGGAGCTGAAGTAAAGCTACGCAACGCGACCGCAGTCTCTCGCACGGTCCGGTTACTATGATTCGACAGCAACTAGGGTACAGTACTTGGCATCGAGTACGAGGCCTCAGTCTGCTGTGCTGCAGAGAGGTGAAACTATTAGAGTATTTGATTGCACCCGGTTGGCCTCTTTGAAACTTCTATCCTCGCACACCACTTCTCGTACCAACACGCATATATGAACCCTGAATTAACGATATCATCATTCATCGCCGCTTCTCCTTGCAAAAAGTAGACTCTCCGGCGAAGCTGACATGATGGCGCTTCCACCCGCTGGGTTTATGAATTCTTGTCGAAGGCCAAAAACAAGGCGACTGATAGCAACAGGTATTGCAGTAAACCAAACTCCAGCTGTTATACCTGTCAATGCGGGATAGGTGAAAAACAGTATCAGCGAGACCAGTGTTGTTAGGAAATTGCTTTGTTTCTGACGTCAGGTGTTCTCAATCACAAAGGCAAGATAGTTATGCTCACCATAGATAACAGACAAAATTGCTCTGCGCAAGCGTCCTCAACAGGCTTGCACCACTCCATTTCTTGTTCATAACCTTCGAATGATAATCTATGGTTTTTGCTCCTATCAGAAGTACAAATACAAACTCCATGGTCATGAGAGGTATGCTATGGAAAGGGGTCAGAATTAGCTAGTTATTGACAATTATGCACTCACCACATGAAGTACGGGGCTGTGCTCATTGCTTGAATGACGCACATGGTTTCATATACAGAGACTAGAAGGTATAAACGCCTAAGTCACTGCATCTTCATTGTGCTGAGGTACGTACCTTTGCTAACAGAAACATCAACGATGATGCCTCCAAGATAGATTATGGTGCATATGGTGAAGAAAGTGGTAAAATATAAAACAGTGCGTTTTTCTGATGTTTATTCGGTGAGGTTGCTATACTATCTTTTGTAAATCGAGTAGCTAGCGCGCGTCTAGTCGACGCTCGTACGGATGTATTCCGGGGAAGAGATAGATTCTCCCTTCGAATATATTCACTTATTTATACTACTTTCCCGTTCGTATCTAACTAAGGGAATTGGTCAGTGCGTTCGACACGAACGCACTGGCCTTGTGTATGTCTGTATCTACATTTCCGTGGCACAGGCGGATCGAGCGTAGTGTACTTGCTCGATCCCTGTATGCACCAACGCGAGCGCCCGTCGGGCTATTCGGGCGTCTTCCACGCGCGGGATCGTATTCCCGCGGTGGCTGTGTTCGCCTCGATCCGGCGTATGTCAACACTCCCCCTCAAGCTGGACTCATACCCATGCCTATCACATGGGTCTGATGTCTCGGCCTTGGAAGTGCTTTAGTAAAAATATCTGCCGTCATCTCGGCAGTGGGACAGTAGTCGATGCACAGGTCGCGAGCGTACACCTATGGTTCCCACGTCACAGATACTCCCTAGATACGTGATCGGACCCTATCTACATACCTAGGAAGACTATGAAAACACTGATCCCCCGCTTGCTTCTAAAATGCTGCAAACGCTGAGGGACTTAGACGAAATTTTACGATGTTCCCTCCCCTCAGAAGGTCGGCAAGGCCCGGTAGGTCCGATCCATGGGATCTAGACCCCGGCATCACGGCTCCCCTCGTTCCGAAGCCCCTAGACGTCAGGAATTGACAGGTGACAGCTCGCTGATGCCAGCCGTCGTCCCACACGGTGACGGCGGCTCTCTGCTCGTCGCTGCTCGTCGTCACCGACAGCGAGCACGTATATCTCAGCAACGGAAGCCCCTCCGAATACCGGGATTTCTGTACCATGTAGCAAGCAAGCAAACGAATCGATTCTGTTTATATATAACACTGCTAGTATAGGGACTATGGTACTATAAGATGTGCTTCTGAAGACACAATCTAAAGGGGACGATGGCGACATCGTGTCTCTAGGGATAACCTAGTCAATGGTAACATATAGTTAGATAGTAAGATCAGTGTAGGCCGGAAGAACACTTACCATTGCTCACTCCTCGCTGGAGTCATCAATGAACTCGCTACTCTTGGGGGACGCGGCCTTTCTTCCCTTCTTCGTCGCCGCAGGCTTTGGCTCCGGCTGCCTCTTGCGCTTGCCGCTGGACTTGCGGCTGCTCGCCTTCGAGTTGCGCTTGCCATCGAGGCTCTCCCAGTAGCACTTCTCGCTGTCGAGAGCCTCGCGCAGGCGCCGAATGTCGTCAACTGTAGTGATGAGGTGAGGCCGCCTCATCGTCATACCGTCGGGCCAGCCGACAACCTTGATTCCGTGAGTCTCGACGATCTTCTTCTGGTAGTTCTTGTAGTTCATCTTTGTGGACGCCCCTGTCATGTACTCTGAAGTATTATTAGTGAGAAAGTTAGCGAGCTTCCGGCAAATAAACGCTTACGAAGTTGCTCAGTGATGGCAGAGGCGCAGTGCGTCTGGTTGGCCACAAGCTTGTTACGCCGCTCGCGCTCGTCGAGATCTAGATACATAGAGGGTTAGGTAACGCCCAGTCACGTACGAATACACTCACTTTCGTCCTGAGTACATGCCCACTGCTCGTAAAGCCGGGCTATCTCGCCCAACGTCTTGCCAAATACCCTCTCGAAGAAATCCTCCGAGTTGTCTGTCGCGTACGCAATCGGCTGCATGGGGTCATTCACGTGCCCTCGTACGAGGAACATTGCACCGTAAGAGCCTGTGTGGGTACGGCACGCGTCAAACTATGAGACGAGGTCGATCATAGTTAGTTCTACGCGCGGACAATGATTACTGTAGATAGACGTACCGTTTGAATGCACTTGCTACTCGCATGCGTGAACTCCTGACTTGCGGCGCAGTTGGAGCAGCGAACAGAGCCATTGACTCGATTGCGATGCTCCTCTAATGCCCTGAGCATCTCTGTATCCTCCTCCTCGGTGTACGCCTTTGCCTTGATGAAGGCATGAAGGTATTTCGTCTTCTCAGCGGCTGTAAGGCCCTCTAAAAGGCTAGTCAGTGCGGGGTTCATCTACGAAGGGAATTACTTATGCGGGTAGGTGATCTTGGTCTTCTCGTGATGCAACTTGGCGTTGTAGAGGCGGACCGTGCGGTTCTTCTTGTCTTGCATGCGGAAGACCATGTCCTCGATGGTCTTGACGGGGATGTCGTGCAGGGCGTGCAGCCGCTCGATCTCCCCAGGAGGGATGAGGAGCTTGTGGATGTCTTTTCGAAGGGCCTCGTAGCGCTGGGCCTTTTGCTCGCGACGCGCGTCGCGTTCGATCTTCTGCTCGGGGGTCAGGGGAGGTCGTTTGGCTCTGGTAGGGAGGACAGGGTGATTGGGGTTACGTTCCGACCACGACTCGTTGGCCGGTGGGTCCAGTGAGGCGTCCTCGTCTTCGTCATCCTCATCGTCCTCGTCGGCGTCGTCCTCATCGTCTTCATCGACGTTTTCGACCGGGTCGCCAGCAGGAGGCAGGGAAAGCCTCCACTGGCAAGCAGCCATGGCAGCCTCCCTCGCCGAGTCTTCGATAGCCTGCTCGTGTGGGTCTTGGACGGCGTCGGAGGTGTTGACGGCGTGGGGGGACACAGAACCAGCCGCGGGCAAGTGAAGCTCACTGTACTGGGAATGGGGGCTGCTATTGTACGGCAGACCGGCGCCTGGCAAGTGGGCGATCTGAGGGGATGGCGAGCGTTGCTGACGGGGGGATAAGAGTCCGGGTGGTGTGTACTGGGTCGGCGGCGGCGGGACAGAGTAGATAGGGAGTTGTTGGAAGGGGCTGTACTGAAGCGAGGGGTGCTGGGAGGCTCCCGGGGGGGGATAGTTGACCCAGTGGCCGTAGGGGTGCAGAGACGCGTTCGAATATTGGTACGCAGGCAGACCATTTGCATGGTAGCCCGAGCGGGTGGGTGGATTCATCGCGTTAGGGGTGTTGCCTGGCGCTTGAGGGGGGTATTGATACGGGGAGCCTTGCAAGCCGCCGTTGCCTTGAGGGTGGAAAAAGTCTTGAGCCGAGTGCATCGTCGAGTAGTTGGGTCTTGTAACCGGGATTCTCGACGGACCAGCATGGCCTCAAGGCTTTTATCTATATCAAATAAATAAATATTTACTTTGGGACGCGAGCGCTGAATCAACGAACAAATACGCGCTCCAGCCAAGCTGGAGACATGCAGAGGCTGACGCGGCGTGGTAGTCACGTGACACTATTCCGGCGCACGCCTCGTAATGAGTGGGAGGACTAGAGTCACGCACAGGATAAAGCGACTCACCAGGGCAACAATACATGTGGCAGATATATTCCGTTCCCACCGAACGCTGCCGGTGCTGGTAGAACATAAACAGTCCAGACCTAGTACTAGCAAATGTGTAACATGGTGTAAGTATTTGAGCAACGCCAGTACTGGCATGGTTACATAGACGCACGTATAAGCTCAGCCGGGTGGTGTTCAATGAGGAGAAATCTGCTGTAAGATATTGAGCTTGGAGCCATGATGTCTAGAGTTTGTCCCGTCGTTAAACCTGCGAGACCTTGCCTTCAATTCGGGCATTCTCAGGCTGAGCGCTGAGCACTGGGTATGAATGGCAGTTTCAAGGGCAAAGACACAAGCTTACCTCGTATACTACTGGTGAGGAGTTCAGGTCAGTGCTGTTGTACGAGACCTAAGACTCGATGGACTCCTTCGAGGGGAATGGCCTGTCACCATTGTTGACGTTGAGATCGAGATCGAGATCGCCCATTTTGCTTCCGTCTATAGAACCCGTGGTTCGTTCAGTGGAGTGAGTGTAAAGCTTTCAAGGAGACTTACATGTTGCCGCGGCTGGGTACATTGACTCTTGGATGTGCGAAGGCGGCCAGCACTCAGGCGCTGAGCTGGAGGGATTTGTATGCAGACGAAGTGAATGGGAAGAAAGTGGTAACAGTTCGTCTAGGTGCGTGTTCCACGAGGCGCGGGGTTCTCAGTGGCAGTGCTCATGACTAAGCACAAAACCACCGCCCAAACCAAGCGCCAGCCAGCGCCTCCCAAACTTAGCGCCAGCGCCTCCAGTTTTCCAGTTTGTCAGTATGTCAATTTACGAAGGTTAATCGAGAAGCTCACGCAATCCCTCAGAAATTATGGGGCGCACACCCACTCAAAAACCCACAAAACAAGAACGACAGCGGGCTGCCACGGAGCGTTGGCTAGCCCGGGAAAAGTGCGTATACTTGACTATTGATAAGTAATCGGGTAGCTGTGTCTGACATTATCGTGTTCGCAGCGTCAAGAAAGAACAGAATAGAAAGGCGAGAGAGCGGATGAGAAGGTGAGTATGCTGCGATCGCTCTCATCAGCAGACATCTGATCACTGCCTTGCCTGCAGGAATCGTGCTATGTAAGTCTTACGTGTAACCCATTCATTCCCGAAATAACCTCGGGTAGAAAAAAGGCGCGATCAGAGGAGCTTCTCCCCACCGAGGACCGTGCAGATGTCCCTTACTCACCGGTACTTAAATATACCCGAGCTGAGAGGCCCTCCCCCGTTGATCCTGGGACCATCACGAGCTTCAACGATGCCGTCCTTGCATTCCAGGTGTGGACATACGACTGGGGTCCAGCCGAGACCTGGGTCGAGAAGTACCACAGTCTCCTCTCCAAAGCTATCGAAGAGACCGAGAATCCGGCATTTGCAGACATGAGTGAGGACTTCCTTTCCCATGTCAGCGAAGGGTGGGACCTCATGGAGGCTTTGCGGAATCTCATCATAAATGGCGAGGATGGGCTGGATGAGCACGTCTTTGATACAATTGCGGAGCTTGTCACTGAACTGAGATTTTTCGAGCGGATGGACGAGGAGAAGTGTCGGAATGATGCCAGAGAGCTCCGGTGGGAGAGAGATTACGTGAGTAGCTCGCTATACAATTGAACACCCTGTATAGTAGCTATGTATAAGCTGTCCTTACCAGCACCGAATTCACAGTATCGAACTTATAACAAACAAGGTGAACGTATATTGAACACATAGTTAGCGGTCACCGTAGCCTATAGTGAACATAGCGAACATATATCGAACAGATAGCGAACGCATAGCGAACAAATAGCGAACAAATAGCGAACAAATAGCGAACGAATAGCGAACATAGCGAATGAATAGCGAACAGATAGCGAACGAATAGCGAACATAGCGAACGAATAGCGAACATAGCGAACAGATAGCGAACGAATAGCGAACATAGCGAACAAATAGCGAACGTATAGCGAACGTATATCGAACTTATAGCGAATGTATAGCGAATGTATAGCGAACGTATAGCAAACTTATAGCGAACACTTTCGAGACACCGGTGTTGACAGCTTTTGAGGACAGCAATTGTGTCATATTCATACTCTGATACATGTAAGTGTCTGTACCACTAGCTATATGTTTTTCTATGCCGATGATTCCGTGTTTTAAGCTACGAGGTTAGTCAATACATCCAGTTTCCATCCAAGATGTTACACGCGGATCGTGTTTGAGCTTAGGGGTCAAACTGTGCATTCATTCAACATCGCGCACACACTTATCTATTCCAACCTGTAGATACCTGGAGACCTCAGCAGGTAACCTTTGACAATATTATATCAATCTTATTTCGATCTTATTTTGAGGGAAGACAGTGATATTCTTTCTAACGTGTTTGATGGGTACAGGTATCCCGAGTAACTACCTGCACTAACTACGCAAACGTCTGGAGTATGGCCCGCTTGTCGAAAACTCCGGCGCCTCACAATGGTTGCGGGACCGGCTCGATACGCACCCCCCGGCGGTTCACTGCATACACCTTGCCAGCCGCCCAAGCCTTGCGATATGCGCGAACAGCTTGGGCATGGTCATAAAAGCTCTTGTGGGTCGCGTGGCCAACGCCCGACACAAGCTCATTGGCTTGGTACCTACACGTGAACGGGTCATAAGGTAGTCTAGGTCGAGTTATCAGGTAGACGTACCAGGAATAGAAAATCCCAGTCTCTAGCCCGCGGTAAACAACGTAAGACTTCTGTGCGTATCGAGGACGCGGAGGAAGTTGCTCGGGGGTAGGGCATCTGATCCGGTTAAGGGGCCGTGGAGGAGAGCGGCGGGGAGTATGGGTCCTCGCGGAGTTGTTGTCCATCCAAGCGCGCACCCGTTCCACGCTTTGGTGCACGACGTCCTGAGGGATGGCCTCTCGAGGGCTGCAACAGACGTAAGTCAATGCCAATAAGTGCACTGCACAGCGGAGGACTTACGGGCTCGAACTCAAATGCGAAGACGGTACGGAAGAGCTGACTGACGCCGGAGGCGAGGGATCGACGGCGATGAGTGGAGTTGCAGGTCCATGGCGAGCTGCCAATGAGGCAGTGGACTGGACAGTTGAAGTCCGAGCTGACCTTGAGCTTTGATGACCCGATTGAGAGCGCGGGGGCTGCAAATGAAAGGCAGGAGGGGTATTGAGGTGGTAGGTGGTGCGAACCGTTGTGGTGGTTGTCGTAGTCTTGGTCTCCGTGATACGCATGGTGGGTACGGGTGCAAGCCTGATCTAGAGGAGAGGTGACCACTTGTGCGCGCATCACAGGTCACGTGTACATGCACCTTCGCTGATTTTATCAAAATGTCGACACAGGCAAAACATACAGATACACTCAGACTAATCACGCAGGGGGTCAAAACTTGAATGGGTAAAACAACGAAGGCAGGAAGACATAAGTCAGGCTCCAGCAGGTACGTATGGATACCAAGCTCCTCCATCGACCGTTATGGGCTACTGGTGAAGTCCAAGCACAAGTCGCTGCTCCCGGCGGAGGTGCAGAAGCTCGCCCGGGAGAAACGTGAAGCCAGGGCAATAGGCAAGTGTATACCAACACATCCTCAAAGACCTCACCTGACATACCTTAATTCAAGCCATGTCTGCACGCGAGCGTCGCGCGCTCAAAGCCCTTGCAGAGACTGTGAGGCCACAAAAGTCTTTCTCTGAAGAGAACGATGTCAGCGGGCCGGACGACGATGATGATGACACATACCTCGCAGACGATGTTCTCGATGGGAGAACGACCATTCCTTTGAGCAATGCAGGAGGAGAGCTACTCCATCTTACTGAGAAAAAATCCCGGTGAGACAGCGTGTCAGCAACAACCATTCAACGTAGAGACTCTGACTGGGATTTTTAGCAAACGCGATCTGCGCCATCGGAAGACACGCGCTGTTAGGCGCGACGACTTGTTTCTCAGACAGATGGATGAACTCACGAACGCGTACATGAAATGGTCGTACGAGGACCATCGGCGACAGAAAGCGACGGAAGACAAGGACCGCCAGCGCGAGGAGGAGACCGAGGACGGCGACAAGGAGATGGAGGAGCTGACGAACGAGATGAAGAGGCTAAAGCTTGTGGACGTGTTCGGTGAGTGTTCTACTAAATGAAATAGGCGCTCAGTGTTTGTTCTCACCGGCACTATTTTTGTATAGTCGTGCGTACATCGGACCTCCACGTTCCTTCGAGCGGAAACGTCGCTCCCGCGATTGTTGAGCAAGGATTCATTCCATGTGCCCCAGACAGACCCAGCACTGCGATAGCCATCCGCAGCCTCGAGCTCTACCGTGTCACGAAGATGCGGAACGCTCACCACTCGATCCAAGCATACGTCAAAACACTTTGTGACCTTCATCATGTGAGTGGCCTTGTTCCTCATAAATCAGCGTGAGCCTAACCTTATGCATAGAAACCGTTCGACGCCCAGCTTTCCCGCCACTTCTCTATCGCGTTCGACATCTACACCGAAATTCTTGCGCGGGTCGACATACTCATCCATACCGCTCTCCGAAGAAACTCGCCAAACTGGCGCCTGACCCACGTCTGCCCCGCATGCATGTATACACTGAAAGACGAGCCGGAGCTCAAGTGCAGCATGTTATACACAATGGATGGCAACGACTCCCTGAAGCGCGTCTTCAAGCGATCCAACACCCTCGATGGCGACAACCTCTCGGGCTCTTCGGAACTACCTACGCTACTCAAGGTTCGGAATGACCGGTATATCGATCGTGACGTGGTCGACCGTTGGGCCAATGCCCAGTTGGATCAAGTCATTACGGCAGAGGTATGTCAATTAGGCTCAGTAGCTAGTTATATCGTGCTGACGACGGCTTCTAGGATCTGGCCGACAATCCTTGCGCGGGAAGGTGGAAGAATATGAAGGAGGATATTACGAAAAAGATGTGGGGGGTGTTTGACGAGACTGGTATATTTCTGGCCATATGCCGACACGGGTTCTCTCTACTCGTAGTTGATATGGTTAAGAGCGGTGAATTGTGAGTATTTTACCGCTGTCTATTGAGTCTGTCAATCTAACGTATTGCATAGGGCTAAGTATCCACTGGCGATTGTCGAACGCATGCTCGAAGCATTCGGCAAGAACCTGGTTGTCGGCTACGATATCGGCTGCAAATTCAAGACAACTATGAAGAAATCCCGGCTCGGGCCCCAGGCAACCAAGCTCAATCATAACTGTCTTGTAGGCGCGTTTCACGGCCATGCCCACTGACGCATGTGCCAGCTCGACCATCTCACCACGTATTTTGAAGGCATTGGCCTCGAAGATTTTGAAGGCTGTGAGCGCAAGTATTCCAGGAGCAACACTCTCGCCGGATCAGTTCGCCACGCCAGCGCCTACCATCGCCAGCACTACATCGACATGTGGCTCCATTATACCGACGAGTTTGATGTATATCCGGCCCTCAGTGAGCTACTCTTCCTCTCGTGCGAATGCACGTATTGACAATCTGCATACAGCGACGTTTTTGTACAATAATTACCGGCAAGCCCTCAAGATAATGAAGGATGGCGAACCGAACCTGAAGGCCGAAATGAAGCGGATGAATATCAAGGACGACTCAGTCTTCGCAATGTGGTTAGCCGAGGAGAAAGCTTACCTCTTGAAGCTTCAGAAGGAGCCTGTGGAGGAGACACTCTAGATGGAGTACTGGGAACGACTGGTGGATCTCCGTAATAGCGAGTGAGTTATCCACGTTTTTTCTCATGTGTCATACAGAACTACATGTTACTAATGTACCAAGGTCTCATCTTGATAGCCTACCCCACCCAACTTCGCAGACCCTTCAACCCGCCGCGGCCCGGGGTGAACGTCTCCCCTCATTACGCTCCCGCGAGGTTCGTTATCGACACGCACAGGAGAACGTCACCAGGAACACACGCCTCGTGCAGGATCTCGAGCGGCGGCTGGAGATAGACCGATGGACCGAAGGCGATGACGACTGGATCAAGACTGGTCGGCTGGTTGCTATGCGTTCGTACCAGAGGGCGCTCGACAAGCTTGAGGGCCTCGTTGTCGCCCGCATCTTCGAGCTCAACAGCATGAACCGGCCGGGCATGGGTGAGCATTCAAATTCTTTATTAGCAATACATGGCTCATTGTAGGGCTCTAGGTTACGCTATGAGGCAGCACATTGGCAAAGCGCTGAAGTCACGCGGGTCCGCCATCCGCTCAGCTCTGCAGGAGTACAACTCCGCTGCCGCCTCCTTGAATCCCCCCCGCCCCCAGCTCTCGTGGGACGACGTCTCGCGCTACGCTTTTCTCGCCGATTTCGACCTCCTCCGTGACGCACGCGAAGACATATCCACGCGAGCGTGGGCGAAGCCGGCCGCTCGATCGGCCATGGATATGCACTTCAAGATACTACGTGCACGCGAAGAAATCGCGCGCCTCAACGTCGAGATCAAACGCGTCGCCACTTACCTTCACGACGAGGACAAATACCTCTCGGCTTGCGAAGAGAAGCTTCGCCAGCAGCACCCGCCGCTCGCCTTTCAGGTGGCCGTGCATCGGAGTATCCGCTCCAGGTGCAACGCCTCTCACGCGAAGCGCCTACGTGACATCGCAGCGCTCGATGGTTTCACAGGGTCGATCGAAGTCGGCCAAAGCACGCTAATCGGTCCAGGAGAGAGCGCCAGCCTTCCAGACCCTATCATTCCTCCCTCCCTCGCTGCACATATACCTGTAGCGGCCGTGCCCGAGTACGCTTCTGACCTTGAGGACACTGACGAGGATGAAGAGGAGGCTAGCATGAACGATGCGGAAGGCGTAGACAATACGGAGGAGGCAATCAATACCATCCTTAGTGTAGCAAGTAACATTGACGCATAACTTATCTTATATTATTCTAGTTGACCTTAGCCATACTATACATCTATGTAGATATATTTTGCAAAAATCCCGGTATTCGGAGGGGCTTCCGTTGCTGAGATATACGTGCTCGCTGTCGGTGACGACGAGCAGCGACGAGCAGAGAGCCGCCGTCACCGTGTGGGACGACGGCTGGCATCAGCGAGCTGTCACCTGTCAATTCCTGACGTCTAGGGGCTTCGGAACGAGGGGAGCCGTGATGCCGGGGTCTAGATCCCATGGATCGGACATACCGGGCCTTGCCGACCTTCTGAGGGGAGGGAACATCGTAAAATTTCGTCTAAGTCCCTCAGTGTTTGCAGCATTTTAGAAGCAAGCGGGGGATCAGTGTTTTCATAGTCTTCCTAGGTATGTAGATAGGGTCCGATCACGTATCTAGGGAGTATCTGTGACGTGGGAACCATAGGTGCGAGCGTATACACGTTCTCGGATATAGTGATGCTTAATCCGGAAATGTTTCGATTTATCATGTATTTCCGGATTCTCGGCCAATCGTAATGCGGATTGATTATCTCCTAGGATTAGAGTTGGCTCGGGCTGTTTATAGCCTAATTCTCCTAATAAATTTCTAATCCACATCGCTTCTCGCGCTGTGAATGATAGTGTGATATATTCAGCTTCTGTAGTCGAGAGCGACACTGATTGTTGTTTCTTCGATCTCCACGTGACTGCTCCCCCTGACAACAAGAAGACATATCCTGAAATAGACAAGCTGTCTGATTCATTCGCGAAGTCCGAGTCTGAGTATGCAAATGGGGTAATTTCCCCATTTGTTGTCTTTTTGTATGTTATTCCATAGTCCTTGGTACCGACGAGGTACCTAAGGACATGCTTTGCAGCCGTCCAGTGTGTAATGTCAGGGTCTGCAGTGAAAGCACCGAGCCGATTGACAGCAAATGCTATATCGGGACGTGTGGCGCAAGCGGCGTACATCAGTGATCCGACGAGAGAAGCGTAGTTGTTGCTTCTATTTCCATTTTCGGAATTCTCGCGTGGTTGTAATTTTGTGTCAGGGGCAAATGGTGTCGAGACCGGGTTTGCTTTGTCTAGACCATGTTTCTCGAGTATGGCTTCAATATACTTCTTTTGTGATATTGTAAGGGAGCCCGTTTTCGGATCTCGTGTGATTTCTATCCCGACTATTTTGCTTGGATCACCAAGGTCTGTAATGTCAAACATTGATTTTATCTCATTTTTGAGATTTGTCATATAATCAGAACCATTTGTGAACAGTAGTAGGTCGTCAACCCACACTGTTATGATTTCTATGCTTTCGGACGTCTTTGGGATATAGACACATGGGTCCGATGTTAAGCGTGTGAATCCTGCATTAGTAAGCTTCAAATGGAGTTCCTGGTTCCACTCGCGCCCTGACTGTTTGAGTCCATATAAGGTTTTGATTAATTTACAGACACACCCAGTTCCATCTTCGAAACCGGCAGGCTGTTGCATATAGACGTCTTCTTTCAGGGTACCATTTAGGTAGGCACCTTTTACGTCCATTTGCTGTATGTCCCATCCTTTGGCTACAGCAATAGATAATATTATCCTTAGGGTCTCGAGCCGGACTACCGGCGAGAATGTCTCATTGTAATCAGTGCCTGGCTTCTGTGAGAAGCCTTTGGCAACCAATCGGGCTTTGTATTTCAATAACACGCCATTTTTGTCGAATTTCTGGGTAAAAACCCATTTACATCCGATCAGTTTCTGATCTCCAGGACTTATGACCAGAACCCATGTTCCCATCTGTTTGAGCTGTTCTAGCTCCGCTTCAATGGCTTCTTTCCATTTCGGCCAATGCGGGCTTCTTTGTGCTTCCTCTATTGTTAGAGGATCGTGATCTGTGACATTGGATTCATTAAATGCCATGTAGATGTGATCGGCCAGGTACCGATCATCCAGGCTCCTACACAGCCGTCATTCCGAGTTTAGTGAGGCAATTGCTAGTGCGGAGGGACTTAGCGGAATCTGAGGTACATGACCCTTACGGATCCACCCGAACATTTTCAATCTCAGCAACCTTGTTGGCCTCACACTCTCCAGGACGGCTGCAAGAAAACCTTCACGTGACTAGTGGCTGTACGGTCGGCTAAGTTCGGTTAAGTCCCAAAAGAATCTGAGTTTGAAAATCAGTTTAGTGCGCGGCTGCGCTCGAGAAATCTGCGAAGGGAAATTCGAGTACACCGTCAATCGAGTTAAGCCTTGGAGGGAGGTTCTGAGTCCAAAGGTTGCCTGGACCTTGCCGCAACGTCATCAGATATACTAAGGGCAAGATCTTCCCGGATCAGCAACCCAGCGAGGACACGCGCTTGGGCAAAAAAAACTAAACCCAGGCAAGGGTCGAACCCAAGACCACCCGAAAAAGATCTAATGCCCAAACCACTACACAATGTCGCCGCGAACAAGAAATGCGATGTCAAGTTTATGAATAGCAACACCGGACTTAAGTGAAATTTCGTGTTTAGTATCTGAACACAAATTCCATGCACCAGGCTAGCAGCTCCTGTTGCATATTTAGTATCAATCCTGGGTGTTCTTGTAGCTATTCTTCGTACCTCAGGCTTTCTACTGTCACCTAGGAACCAGGTTTAAATGCGAAATAGTGTTTCTCTAGTCTCAAGAATGGGTGCCCCTATTATCTTGAAACCTTGTTGAAAGGCTGTTGACTCAACAACCTTGTGTCAAGGTCAAGTCAAGGTTATGCCAAGGCTCCCGCAGGATTGCGCCCTTAGTATATGCTGCAAGGTCCCGCGGTATCTCACGACTAGGTCCCTTCAAGGTTCTGCTAAGGTTTCTTGCGTCGAAACATTCCCCCAAGGTTTGTCTTGATCGTGATATGCAATTAAAACCTCATTTACTCTATTAAATACTCGCCTATTTATTAGAACAGAGATGTGTAGCTTTTTTTTCGAAGTCCACTCTTAAGCGACGGGTCATTCCGCTCGGAACACCATCCGACCCTGAATTTCAAATTGTTTTCTTGCAGCCGTCACTGAGAGGACGGGAAGCTTAAGGTTCAAAACTTTTCAATCGGCGATTAATAGCTACGGCTTGAGTTTCAATCGCTACTTGAAAGACTTGTCGCGGATTCTGCTGAGTCTACCGCGCCCTAGGATAAGCTACTCTCCTCTCAGTGACGGCTGCGTAGGAGCCTGCCGATCATCAATGTCTGGGCCTTCACATACAAACTCGGTGAGTTCGGGAGGCTTCTCGTTGTCTATCTCGGGCGACGGATCATTTAATTTACTATAGTCGTGTGTTTGTTTTGGGCGCTTGCTGCGCCGAGGCTCAATTTCGGCATCAAGGGGTGGAGGTGCGGTTGTAGTGCCGAGATTTTTCGGTATCTCTTCCTGCTCCCCCTCGCGCCGAGCCTCTGGTGCGGGAATTGGTATATCTTCCATATTTAGAAATTGGTAATTGCGCGAGATCTTTACCGATCGTTTTCGCGCGTCATAATATTTTATGGCTTTGGACCCATCAGAGTACCCTACAAAAATGTAAGGCTCCGCTCTAGGTTCTAATTTAGATATATTTTGTCCTTCTATAAGGACATATACACGCGAGCCAAACTCGCGGAGGTGTGAGACATCAGGCTTCTCACCGAGCCAGCGTTGTGCTGGAGTGATGCCAGGCAAGGCACGCGTGAAAGCGCGATTACGTAAGTATGCCGCATGTGTAACAGCATATGACCACAAAAATAGAGGTAATGTTCGTGCGTGGAGCATAGCACGTGCTAGCTCCATATAGGTTCTATTGAAGCGCTCGGCAACGCCGTTTTGTTGGTGCGCATAGGGTGCAGTTGTCTCAATTGCTATCCCTTTGTTGTTACAATATGTAGTTAGGTTTTCATTTATATATTCGCGGCCATTATCGGCACGTATTCGCTTTATTTTATAAGTCCACTGTCGTTCAATAAACTCAATATATTGCTTTAGTTTATCGGCTGCCTCCCCTTTATTTTTTAGAGGTATGACATGTGAGTGCCGCGTGCAATCATCAATAACCGACATGTAGTATCTATTTTTGTCAAGTGACTCGGTTCGGGCCGGACCCCACAGATCGGTGTGGATTCGTTCACCCGGTACTTCGGATCGGTGCTCCGCTTCTTTTGGGTGCGGAGTTCTCGTGAGTTTAGTGGCTGTGCATGCCGAGCAATCAAAGTGTTCTGGACTTTCGGCTATATTTAGTCCGCTTACTAATCCTTCTTTTTGGAGATGCTTGATGCTTTCGACACTGATGTGTCCAAAGCGTTTATGCCACTCTTCCCATGTGTGGGAAGTGGACGCTTTGGCTACATTTGCATGTTCTCGCGCATGTAGTACCTCAAATGAGAAGTAATATAGTTTATTTTTGAGTGTGCCAACAGCAAGTGTGTCGCCATCTGAGTCAATTAGTTTGACTTGGCTATTTCCATATATGGCTTTGCCGCCGGTCTGATCAAAACGTGAAACAGATAGAAGGTTTCGTGATTAAGGTTTCGTGATGCCTCGGGGATGTGGAGTACATCAGTTAATTTTAGCATACGCGTGGTTCCTTAAACCTTCGTCCGCACAAGTATAGTGCCTATGCCTCGCGCTTCTATTATTGCGCCAAGGCCGATTATTTTCTTATTACTTAGGGGCTTATATTCATTAAATGCGCTGATGTCGGCACATATGTGTGATGTGGTTCCTGAGTCGCTCACCCAATCATAGTAGGAAGTAGTAGATTCATGGTCATCCATCTCGACATCAGAAGCAGTGTCTAAATTAAGCGTATTAAATGCCGCGTCAAAATCGACGTGATCAGCACTATTGGCTTCATCAGCACTGCGCGCTTCTTCTTCGCGCTTCCGCTTCTGTCCCCCACCCGATTCTGGCGCTTTCCCCTTTTGGTCGCGCCGGAAGCGGCATTGATCTGCTGTGTGATTGGTGTAGCCGCAGTGCGGGCACTTCGGTTTGTCTTTGTTTTTACACGTGGCAACAAGGTGCCCCCTCAGTAAGCAGTAAGTACATCTCATTGGTACCGAGGGACCGGATCTGGAGTTAGAAACTCCGCCCGGGCCGCGTTGCCGTTTCTGAGGGGAAGAAGTATAGTTAGCTTCTTCGTTATGTTCCTGGATCCGGGCCGACTCCTCCCGAATGAGGGAGAGCAGCTCCTGTGTGGATTGTCGAACAATGTTCTGGGAGTTTCCTCGTATAGCAAAGAAGCCCCCTGTCCAGTTGGACCAGGAGACCGGTAGTGCGGTTAGAACGATGTTCTGGAACATTCGCTCAGGTACGCGGTCCGCGGGATTGGATACGGAAGCAGCGATCTGGTTACGAAGCTCCATCAATTCTAGAAGGTGCTTCAGGATCTGTGTGGAGTCATCGGCTCGCTTATCGTATAGCCTTCGGTACAGTGTTGTTACATGCTGTCCGGACCGTAGCTCGAATGCTTCTTTGAGCCGCTGCCAGATGTCGGCAGCGTGCTCATCGATGAGCGCATCATCACCCACTGAGTCAGCGTGTGTAGATAGCTCATCGCTAATCGAGCCACTGATAAGGTATTTCGCGACAGCATCGCGCCGGCTCCACAAAATCCGCTCGCTTGGTGTGCGACACATGGACTTGGGGTAATTTCCCATGACAAAGGGAAGACAGCCGGCAACATCAAGAAGCCGGTGGAGCCTGCGCTTCCACGGGATCCAATTGGTCTGCTGCTCGGTTGTAGTCCTGAGTTTGTCCTTATCGGTCATTATAGCAACCGATTTGTAGTCTGACCGCAGTAATGCGATCATATTCTCATGGGGTGTATCATTCTTTGGGAACACTATTTTTAGCGTGCCTGAAACCGTGTTCTGACGTCCCTCGCTTAACGGGGGGATGTCAGGCACATGTATGTGTCCCTCGCTCGCTGTGGAACGAGGTGACAAGTGTGGGGTTGCCGCCGTTGGCGGGTCACCCTGAGTTATGTCGGGATCAGGAGTGGTCCCCATGCTGATGGGAGGATCGTTGATATCCATGAGAAGATGTGTGATGGGGAAGTTGAACGTCGGCTAGAACCCGACGGGGCTCATAACCTTTTGTAAATCGAGTAGCTAGCGCGCGTCTAGTCGACGCTCGTACGGATGTATTCCGGGGAAGAGATAGATTCTCCCTTCGAATATATTCACTTATTTATACTACTTTCCCGTTCGTATCTAACTAAGGGAATTGGTCAGTGCGTTCGACACGAACGCACTGGCCTTGTGTATGTCTGTATCTACATTTCCGTGGCACAGGCGGATCGAGCGTAGTGTACTTGCTCGATCCCCGTATGCACCAACGCGAGCGCCCGTCGGGCTATTCGGGCGTCTTCCACGCGCGGGATCGTATTCCCGCGGTGGCTGTGTTCGCCTCGATCCGGCGTATGTCAACACTATCCCACTGGTTTACTTACCATAAGAGAAGATCGATAATAGATGACTTAGAAGAATCACTGCAAAAACGGCCATGAATTATTCATTGTTTCAGATCAGGGTTCTGCTAACCTTCTGCACTGATTCCTACAATGATATCTAACATACAATTAAGACTATATGTTTGTTTATTTGGGTAAAACAGTACCTGTTATTGTGTTGATGACTTCGATAGCATAACCTATTGCACAGGTAATATGAGTAGAAGTTCGATGTTGACTAGATGCAACTCCTATCTCTCACACCTAACAAAACCAATGAGTTTCCACCCAAGAAACATTATGACTCAGGGTGCATACCAATGATTTGTCCCCAAAGCAATCAGAGGTACTGAGCTTATTAGCGAGTTTCAATGAGTATATAAATGGTGCAGATAATATATCACTTACTACATGCCCATAGAATACAAGAAAGCAGGCAAAAGTATCGGTACTGGAAGTGTTCCTAGCTTGTAAGCAAAACCATTTTTATGAACAACACCAAAGCAGATCGTACAAAAAGAAATAGAACTTTCTGCAGCTTGAACTTTGTTTTCTATTCCAGGAACACGTGTAAACTTCAAATGTGCGAACGGGTAGCACAAATTGCACTCGCCCAAACCTCCACCTGTGATGTAGAGACCCCGTTGAGAAATCGACAATTGGAGTGTGAGTGTGCTAACTGCTTACCTCGTGGCTGAGCGTCAACACTGTTGGTGTACTTATATGTTATACCATAAACGAGCCAGTGTGTCAGGAGCAAGACTACATACTATAATACCAGACGTAGACCGTCTTCAATGAAACTAGGAGGCAGAGCAACTATCAGCTATGTGTCGTGGCCCTGGAGGACTTGTACCAGATGCATAACGAGACCCTTGGTCAGTCTTCATCGTCTTGACAAAAGAATCGGATACAGTTATTGGAAATGGCAAGGAGAGGCATGGTGGGGGGGTAGCAAGAATGAAATGTGAAAGAGATGGCGTGTAATAAGTATACTGACAGGCCACGGCCTCCTAATCCACGGCAAATGGCTACGCCCCCACGCCAGACCCACCAAAGCTGCGCCCATCAGATCTTCAGAGCTTTTGGACACTCCAACTACCTCATGGCCCGGGCCACCTGCTCCTGTCCCCTCCTATCATTTGCTACTGCACATTCTGTCCTAGTCCTTGGACTTTCTGTTTGTACGTGCTCGCATGTAACCTTAATTAGTCCCTTCGCAATAGCAATGACAGGCGTAAGAACAAAGCTATATGACATTGGAATCTATCACTTTTAACCCCGAGGACTTTGATAGGTCTCCGGATCATAGGTGCCGATTAAGATGCATCAATGACCAAAGCACTAGAGAAAGTGCCCACGTTGAGTGCTTAGCGTTCATCTGACTCATTGCTATCCTCACAGGAGTTTCCCGATGATTAATTCATATTCCCAGCGGCTTATCCAAAGCATTGCTGAATTAGATTTCATGAAGGTAAAGTAGACGGCGTTGTCTATACTAGTAGATAATAATGCAATTTGTGCGAGTGCCGCTCTGATCGCCGCTGGGGCGCTGAACCAGAAACCAGAACTAGACAGTACATACCGGTTCACCGTTTAATATATTAACTCTGGGCGAATTCCTTAAGCAGCTGCAAGCTCCGTGTATCTAAATAGAGCTGATCATTGCAATTCTAGACAGATCAATCCACAGGAAACTTGCTCGAAGTGATACAGTGGCGATATAATCATTCGTACCCGGCGCTCAATCTTCTCCCTGTTTATATGAACAAAGTGCGAATGACACACCCTATCATACGCACGGCGCGGAGCGCCTGATTCCGAGCGTGCACTGCCATGTCACCGGCTGAAGACGACACGTCAAGAAAAACAACACAATCTCAGTATCTCGCCTACGACTCACTGGGGGTCACTCTAGGACACGTGTATTATTGCGATTCCGACACCATGCAAAACCCGTCGCACGGAATCTCACAATGTCCTAGTTCCCAGCGCTCCAGCGCAACTAACGCTCCTTTGCCATGAGGACATACGAGCGTACATCTGCAGAACTACACATCCAACATACGAGTACAATTTCTCACCATTCACGGCAAGACACCGCCATCGTCCTCAGCCGCACGACATATCGCACTCGGTGCTACCAAAAGACAGTCATGCAACAAATCGAACTGGAAAAATGAAACCGAGGACGGGATATAAATAGATGACGTCGACCCACCGTCCAACGAACAACGAACAACGAGCACAATCAATTCAGGATGTACGTAGGTTGGGTTCAGATAGTATGTATGTATGTATATAGAAACGACAGACACAAAAGTTGGACATGAAACGAGCGGAGATCTATAGTAAGTAAAATAAAATAGCGTAGCGTAGCGGCGTCCTCTGGCCTGCAAGGAACGCGTGGGTCGTGTCGAGACTTTCGGATTGTCTAGATCGGGGATGGGATGGGATATGATAGGGTGGGGGAAGATGATTCGTCCGTCCGTCCGTCCACCCGTTCCTCTTCTTTGAGCTGTTCATGTGGTAGTGCTGATGCTGATGGTAAGGTGAAACGCGTGAACAGACAGAGATAAGCAGCACGGGGTAAGAAGAGGAGGGAACCTGGGAGGCAGGCCCAGGTACACGCTGGTAGACGCCGAGGTACGAACAAACAGCCTGCCCTGCAGCCGGCGGGAGCAGCCCATTTGAACTAGAATCGATCCAGATGACCAGTGCCGGTGCCGGCGAGGGGTCGGGGTCGAGGTCGCCTGCGATAAGATAGACGCCCGTCTATACCGAAAAGTAGAAGATCGGAGCGGGGAGGTTGCTGCGGACCAAAGACATGCGCGCGTCTGTTGTCTGTGACGTCGCGATTGAACGCAGTGGCGATTGGCGGCGACAGAAGAGGCATTGAGAGCGCCACCACGGCGCCAAGACACGTCCTCGGTGTGCTGCAGAGGAGCTAGACAGTAGTATGATTACAGCAGCGTTCTGATCGATTGCGTTCCTTCTGTTCTATCCTCGCTCGCCCGGCCAACCGCCCTCGAAGACTGTGTTTCCTCGCTCTTCTAAACGCGCGTGCGTGCGTCCTATCTCAATCGCGTAACCTATAATCCAAACACAAACCGTAAAAGAAAGAAAGAAGAGGGAGGTTGGGAAGGGTGGTTATCTAGACAGAAAGTCTCGGAAACGTAGTATGTAGTGAAAAGGAAAAAAAGATTAAACGACAGTAAACGATCAAAGGATTGGAATGAATGAAGAACGAACAAAAAAGGGGAAGCCGAATAAACCAATAAAGGCCAGCATAATAAAACTCATAGTAAAAAAGTAAAATCCCTATAATCCAGCGCGCACTCGCGCTTGCGACACCAAGTGGCAAAGCCAGCGCTAGCGCTCACCGCGCACCAGCGCCCGCGCGCCTGCGCCGCTTCTCGCGGAAGTCGACGACGGCGTACCAGGCGCCGCCGCCGAGCGTGAGGAAGATGCCGAACCCGTTCGTGGGCGAGATGACGAGGTCGAAGATCGCGACGGCGAGGAAGACGCTCAGGACTTGCTTGACGTTCGCTGTTGGTCGCGTTCAGGAGAGATAAGGATAGCAGCAAGAATAGCGTTGGTCATCAGAACGGGTGCAAGTCGGGACGAGGATAGATCGGCGGGAGAGCAAAGAGAGACAAAGAAGACGGTAGTCAGTAACCGCCCGGACCAAGCCAAACACGCAAAGAAACCGACAAAACACAATCCAAAAACCAAAAACTCACCCGCAACAGTAATACTCAACGGCCCCACCTTCCTATTCGCCGTAAAACTAACAATATTCAGCCCAAACGCAATCGCCCCATTAAACAACAACCCCGCCGCCCTCTCCATATCCATCTCCGCACTGCTCCACTCGTGCACCCTTCCGAGCTCGCCCGAGAGCTGCGCTAGTATAACACACTGCGCAAACGCCAGCGGCGCCATGCGGCAGAGCAGGTCGAGCGGGTGCAGCGCGAGGCGCGGCGGGATGAGCCACGCGCGGATCGTCGTCACGGCCGAGGGGGGCGCGTCCGGCGGCGACGTGGGCGCGCGCGATTGCAGGATGGAGGTGTATATCGTTTTGAGCGCGGCGAGGACGGTGCCGAGGAGGGTGAGGAGCAGGCCGGTGGGCGTGGCGTAGTAGTCGCCGTACGTGCTGTGTTTGCGGGGTGATAGTGATTACGATGACGGTGTCGGGCGCGTAAAAACGGGCGTAGGTCGGCGGATCATCGGTTCGTCGTTATCAGCATGGACGACGACGCGATTAAGAGGTGGTGATCGGGGACAGAAAGCGTGACATCACCGATACCGGGTTGCCATATCGAGGTGTCAGCGCCAAGCCAATGCCAGAGGGGAAAACGTTGACAAGTCAGCTGCGGATTCAAAAATACTCGCGAGATGCAGGAAAAGCAATCCAAACCCCGGATAGCATGCCACCAATGGCGCATAGCGGGGAAGGGAAGGCACAGGGGCAAGGACCGGCGAAGCATGGATTCGAAACAGGGACGGGACGATGCCACAGGGCAAGGGGAGGGAATGAAAAGACTCACGCGAATCCGACGCCAGCGATAACAGGGACAAGGGATGCGAACTTCATCTTGCTGCTTCCAGTGCCGAAGAGAATCAAATTGAACAAGATAATGAAGAGCGGCGTGGCCGCGCGCACGACCTGGTGGAACTGTGGAGCGTCCAGTGTGCAACCAGAGCGAGGGATACAAGGCCCGGTGAGAACAGCGGCAAAGATAGCGAGAAGGCAGAACAAAGAGACGCACCGGGACCGTGACGAGCTGGAGCGAGATGTTGCTCACGGCGATGTTGACGGTGTAGAGCACGCTGAACGCGACGAGAGCGAGATTCTCCCTGTCCGTGAGGACCGCGGGGGTGAAGAAGCCCATGCGGAGGAGGGCGCCGCCGCCGATAGTGCCGCAGAGGGCATGGAGGGCGGTGAGTGTGTACGGGAAGGGGAACTTGACGAGTACGATCTTGTTGTAGAGCGTGAGGACGAGATTGAAGGTGAAGTACAGCAGCAGCCAGAAGGGCTCCGAGTTGAGGAACTGGGCGAGCGGCGTTTCCTCGCCGAGACCCGCGGCGCTGGTGGGAGAAGGGAGGGCAGCCGGGGGTAGCGAGGGCTTCTCGTCGGGCGTTGGGTCGTGGTCGAAAACGGAGGAGCGGGCGCCGTCAGAGTCGACGAGTGTCTCGTCGTCGGCGACCAGCTCGCCCTTCTCGAGGGCCATGGGGGATATGTTGCGACTAGTGCTGCGCAGGAGCTGCTGCCGTGATGCGACGGCGTTGGTGGGCGTGGATGAACTCTGCGGGGGGTCTATGGTTGGGAATGGCCCAAAGGGTGAGGGCGTCTGGAGGGCTGCACTGGGTTGTGCAGAGAAGTCTGGCGTGGCATTGCTGCGCACGGTCAACGGGCGCAGGGGGCGGGAGTAGCGTGCTGCCGCGGGGACGTACCCGGGGTCGAGGGACGTGGAGGAGGTGGAGTTAGTAGTGCGGTCGTCGTCGTGGTCGTCTGTGGAAAAGAGAGTCTGGCGTGTGGACGACATCGGGATAGGGAGTTGACGGCGTGCGCTGTCTGGGGAATAGGGACAGGGATATACACTAGAGGCTGGAGGAGAAGAACAGAATGCAGCTTATGTATTATCCACTTGCAATCAGGCCTAAAAATCAAATTTACCCCCGAAGTGAAGAAGCGCCAGCAAGGCACTCGTCTGAATCTCCGAAAATACGCTGATATTTGCCCGGGATACAAAATGAATTTACGCTTCTCATTGGGCCGCCCATCGCCAGACGCCGATGCCCGTGGTGGCGTGGTAATCCACCGCCAGAAACGCGTCGGCCATTGTTGTCTCCTGCGAGCATCCTCCACTCCATCCCGCCCCTCTTCCACTCCCACAACGCACCCTCTCATCGCCCACAATGCCTGCTGCAACGCGCTCAACAACGCGCAACACCCCTGATCCCCTCCCAGGCCCCTCAAAAAAGCGCCCCAGACCAGGCTCCCCCTCCGACACCCCCTCCGATACCGACGCAGGCACATCCGCGCCCAACTCCACCGCCAAACGTCAGAAGCCTGCCTCTCAGCAGACGCTTTCCTCAGTGGGCGGGCGCCCAGAATCGCCCCTCAGGCGCAGAGATTCCAAGGAGAGAAAGCGCAGGCAGAAAAAGAAGCGCAAGACGCCCATCGTCGATCACAATGGGACTGCCAATCCAGGGACTCTTGCTGGCTCTAGGGGCATCGCCAGAACAACAGACGGCAGCGTTGGCGCACAAGAGCGTCCCCGTAGCAGTGGCAGCGTTCGTCCCTCGAGCAGCCGCACTCTCTCAGAGGGGCCCAGTCAGCCACCACCGCCTATGGATGGTGTGTCTGCTGTCGCTCCCGACACCAGCTCGGTTCAACCTGAGCAGGCTGTTAACGACCCTCTGCCAAAGGTACGTGGCTTAGCTATTGTTCACACCCTTGATTACTGAAACGCATCGCATTACCAGGTGGAGGATACATCCGGCGATCAAGAGCGGGTATCGGAAGCGGCCACCTTGACTTCGCCTGGGCCCTCTTCTGACCCTGTATGTCTCTTGGACTTTTCTTACTTCAATCTCACCCTATTCTGTCTCTGACGCTGACGAGTATATTATCCTATAGAAGGGGAAAGGCAAGGCTAAAGCTGAAGACGAAGAAATTGCCCAGGCAGAGTCCTCAGCAATGGCAGGCGCCACCGCTACTGCGAGCGAGGGAGTAGATGCAGAGCACCTCAAGGCGGAATTGTTGGTCGCGAACTCGGTACGTGGTCATCGGCTCTCAAGTGTCTTCTCGACTTACCCCTCTCTTATCCCAACCTGAACATCTCCGCCCTCGTCTATCTCCTGGACCGGACAAACCCATTTTCCCTCCCCACAACCCACATTCACATCCACACAGCAACTTACCGCACACGAACGCCTCACAACCACCTTTACCGAAACTGCGACGTGCCAAATATGCCTCGACCTCCTGTATCGCCCCTACACCCTCTCCCCCTGTGGCCACGTCTCGTGCTACAACTGCCTCGTCTCGTGGTTCACCGCTCCCCCGCCGTCCTATGCCTCGGAGCGTCCCGCGGGCCCCCCACCTGCCGCAGCCGCAGAGCCAAGCACAAGTGCGAACGGCGCGGGACCTTCGGGTTCCGGCCAGAGCGCAAACCCAAACCCAAACCCTAATCCTACTGCAAGCGCGAGCGCACCCCGCCCCAACCGCCCCAACGTCATCGGGCGCACGAAAACGTGCCCGCACTGCCGCGCCAAGGTGCGCGGCCGTCCCGCGGAGGCGTGGCTCGTCAAGGAGCTTGTGCAGGCGCTCGTGGACAGCGGGCTCTCGGGCGTGGACGCTGCTGCTGCTGCTGCTGTCACTGCAAACGCGAGCAGCGCGGACCCCTGGTCAGGCATATTCCTCCCTGAGGCTACGCGCACGGATCCACCGTGGGCCGCACGTCGCCCGTGGCTGTATGCACGTGCGCCGTCGCCGCCTCCGTTGGTCCCGCGGCCTGCACGGGCGAACGGGGTCGTAGCCAACGTCAACGCTAACGGGGTCGCAGCCAATGCGAACGCGAACGCGAGCGTGGAGGAGCGCGGGATGCTCGACGAGGAAGACGGTGGGATATACCGCTGCGTCGAGTGTGTGCACGAGATCTGGGCGGGGCGGTGTACGGGCTGCCGGCGGGTGTACCCCGCGCACCCGGGGTATCGGCCGCTGGGGTGGGACTTTGGGGATACGGACGAGGACGAGGATGAGGATGAGGATGAGTACGAGATGCGGCGGGTGAGGATACGGCTGGATGGGGAGGATGGTGAAGATGAGGATGAAGACGAGGATGAGGAGGAGGATGAGGACGAGGAGGACGCGGACGCGGTGGATCTTATGGATGCGATCGACACTGCGGACGCGGAGGGCGAGTTCGATGTGGACGAGGAGATGGACGATATCGATATGTATGGGGATCCGTATAGCCCCGACGAGGATGGGGACGTCGATCCGGCGGAGTTCTTTGGTGCGCCTGGGTACTGGTACGGCGGGTGGGGCGACGACGGGATGCATCATGGCGGGGAAGACGAGGGAGACGGGGAGAGCAGCGCGGCGGAGGTGATGGATGGATACGATAATCCGCTCTGGATGGGCATCGAGGACGGGGACGGGGCGGGTGACGATCATGGTGTGGGCAGCGACGATGGGCGGCGCGTGTATATGCCGGGGTTTGGTCCGGGGGACGGGAGCGAGGACAGCGAGGACGATGAAGACCAGGGCGAGGAAGGCGGCGAGGACGAGGACGACGCGTGGACTGTCGAGGGTATCATGCACGAGGCATTTGGCCCGCAACACGAGCTCTATCGAGGGGTTGTGGAAGGGTACCGGCGCCAGCGGGAGGCTGCTGCTGCTGCTGCTGCTGCTGGTGTGCCGAGCGGGCTGCATCGTGCGTACGCCTTCAACGAAGGGAGCGCGTCGTCGGACTCGGAAGAGTACGAGAGCAGCTTCATCGACGACGAGGACGAGCAGCCGCGCGGTTTGCCACGCCTTGATCTCCCCGGTGGTGCGTTCATCGAGGAGGTCGACGACGATGGTGCCTCTCTGGACCACGATATCGATGTTGAGGGTGAAGACGAGGACGCTCTAGGCGAGACGGACGACGGCGGGCCGGAGGTTGTTGACCTGGACGACCTCGGTCACGGTGGTGGTGATGGCGAAGAAGATGGAGATGGCGAAGAAGACGGAGACGGAGATGAAAGCTCGGACATGGATCACGATCTCGTCCCGGCCGCGCACGGTGCGCACGCCTCGAGGCGCCTGCGCGTGCCTTCGTCTCCGCCGCCGGTGCGGGTGCGGAATGTGAGGCGGTTGCTTTTGAGTTCGAGTGACGAGGAGGAGTAGATGTGGTGCGGGTGGATATTGTGGGGTTCATTGGGGACCGATACAGAGGGTGTTGATTAGGATACTGGAGACGAATATGGGCGCGCTGCAGGATCCGTAGGGTCTTAGAAAGTCGTGCGGCCCGAATTTCGCAATGGAAGGCAGCGGGCTTCATGATTACATATGACTTTGTGGAATTTAGTCTATTATTTGGCGAGGACCCATTGCAACAAACTAGTTCGTTCGATGGATGTGATTGGTCGTGGTGGGGACGCCGTAACCATTCAACCGATGCATCGATGAACGGGATTGTAAATGCACAAAAGGGTTGGGTAACCTACAATGAGAAATACCACTCTCGTGAAAAACGCAACACAGTTTCCCCCAATCCACTTGGCCTCGGCACTCGTCTGTAGATGTAAACCGTATCTACAAACAGTTCTTCAAATAAATTATGCAAATATCCAGCCTCGCTCAGCCTTCGGCAGCCAAACAAAGACGAACGAGCACTTTGGCCACGCCAAGTCGCGCTGGGCCTTTCCGCCCGGTGTAATTCATAACTCCTCTTTCTGGAATAAGAACCATACCTTGCACATGCCTGTCATAGGGTAATAACCACAGAGAGCAATAAACGCGATTCAACGACGACATGAATCATAAGGGCGTGTGGCTGGTTGTTGACTTGTGTTTTTTTTTGGTAGATTCCCTTTTCATTGCAGGTTCCACGATAGTAGTACAGACGTTGATCGTCGGTGTGTCTCGCCGAGCTGCCCACGCAGAGATGGCAGTGCTTTGCTACTGAAACGGGGCCTCTTCTCTTACACTCTTCGGAGGGTTTTGTTAGGTTCTAGAACATAAACACAACACGCACTGTGACCTCGCAGGCTGCAACGCAAAGGCCTCAAAACGTGGACGAACTCTGAGGATCGACTCATGCCAAATGCTGCTGTTATCTATGTGTTCTAGACATACCAGATCTTCGTGCTCCATCACCAGGTGTTCTTCTTGCCCCAGAATGTAGAAGATCTGCATTCAGTCAGTGTAGGGAAATCTTTCATATGCCTTACCTGCGGTTAACGCATGTTCCGCCGACGTGTCTCGTATAGCCTTACAGAGGTAGATCTTGATTCTTTCGTCCTTTCTCACTTAAGTAAGGGCGCAAGAATGCAATGGAAGGCAAAAAGCTTAAGCGCTTAATGTTGACGCTTGTCGGCTCCGCTGTGCACACCGGGCTAGGATGCACTGTTGGCAGGATGGGCCATTAGAGCACCATGGATTTGGATTCTAGGAAACTGCATTGGTGGACGCGTTGTGGAGCCCGTCAAACTTGCGAATTTTTCGACCTCTTGTGCTGGTCAAGAGCACATGAACAGGTAAAAAGTTGCTCGAACAGTCTGATGGATCAGAATTTCGAACTCTAATCCGGCCCATGACCGAGTAGTTTAGTTACTTACGCTTCCGAGATACAATATGTGCGAGCGCTTTCAGACGCATGGCTAGTATCCGGAAGCGGAGTTATTCTGCACATGGCAAATGCCCAGGCTCCCTGTTGAGCCGCTGGTTGGTAGATTAGAGTGCGTGTACAATCTAGTGGATCAATCACATGCGAATCTCAAACAGTGCTATGTAATCTAGATATACACGATGCATACTAGACATATAGTTTCCATAAACCTCGTGTGGCGGGAGCCGGCAAGATTCCTAGCCATGAGACACAGATGCCGAGGATCGCTAGGTTTGATATTCGGACAAATGAACATCTGACAGGGCTGGGCAACAAAGCACAGGTGTTGATGTCGGGGAAGAAATCGAGGCCTCGAACGTCGGACAAAGCTTAGATTGCACACATCCAATACATGCTCAATGATGTTCTCTCAGACAGACTCTAGTTCTCTAGCGCCTGAAGGGCTGAATCGTACAGTCTGATGGTTATTCGCTTTCAAGGAATTCAGCCAATGAAATATCCCCGAAGTGAGCGTTTGCGAGAGACAGAAGTAGCCATTGGCGCACATATGCATTTTTCTTATATATCGTGCCTGGGGCCTTTTTAATAAGAGCGGAGCCACGTAACTCACTATGGATTGAGAGCCTGCAGGAGGCGCCTCGGGTGCCCCAAGATTGCTTGAGAGGCACATTACACCCTGATTCAAGAAGACCCACAACACCAAGCGCCAAAGCGGAGCTCCGAGCTGAAAATACTCCAAATGTATGACTCGACGTTCACCGCGAGCTCAACGTTCGGAAGACCTTCCAGTGAACTTACTCGACGGGTCCTCGCTGTGCTATGTGGACTCACATGATCGTCCTCACTCGGTCGATAATTCACATGAACCATGGCTACGCTCGGCAGTCAGATAAACTCCCGTTGAAGTGTGGACCACTGGTAGCGGACCTAATTAGTACTAGTTTCTGGTGCGACAACGGTAAATCATACCGGAGGCCGATATGCCATGGGATCGAGTAGATTCTCCGTTCGTCACTTGTTCATCACAACCTAGTATCACCAATTTTACATCCTCGGAAATACTTCGAACAGGCAATTGCGGATCATAGATTCTCCGAGATGCTTATAAAGGCATGAAGAAATTGAACATACAGTTCTGGGGTCAGCGATTAGGACCTCACGCTGGCCCGTCCTCACCTGACGGTGAACTAAGTTCCTGGCATTTAATTTAAGCTTTCCCATACTACGGGTCGTGTCCTTTCAACGTTTTTGACACGTAGGCTTTTGATCTCCGCCTTAAGATCATTGAACTACAGCACTCTATCAAAATTAAATTTTCATTTTCGCACGTTGACTAATGTCTGCGTCATCATTGATAAAAGGATGACCACTCCCCGACCGCTATTCACGCATCCATAGTGATTCAGATAGACGGTAATTGACACGCGTTACCAAAGCCCCTGTGCAGCATGCACACTTCAAGGTGGGCCGCTTTATTGATCATGAGCTGGAAGCTATCCAAAATGTGAAATGGCGCACACACAGTGCAACAGAAATGGAATTTCCTCACGAGGTTTGTAATAGCATCATCAGTATCAGGTCTATCTTATGCCGCCGGCGGAGCGAGACGCCCATGAGAAGGAGGACATGTCATCTCGCCCTTTCATCTGACTGTGAATCCGGGTGCTCGCTTCGGAGTCATGTGGGGCTCACATCCAGTCATGGATTTTTTCATCAGCAGAACGTTATATGCAGCTGCAAGTCAGGCATGTTTCTTGCCTATACATAGCATGGAACAAATGCCGGGACTGCGGCTCGAGCCAGAGGGTCCCTCCCAACATGAGGTTTTGGACAGTGCTAATTCCTGACAGCGTAATCGGATGCCTTCTGCCTGTCGAATATGGCACCATATACACGATGAGGAGGAGTGGCCTCAGAAGAAGAAACACTGTTAATTGATGTCAGCATGACGCCAGCGAGGGGACTGATCATAGAAACGCCCAATACCGAAGTCTTTTGGATAGTCTTGAATGGAAGGTGTTTCGTCTGGCAGGGTCATTCTATGGATTCCCGCTGACCCTCAGGGGCATAAACGGGGGTTTATTTTTCAGGAAGGAACTTGGGATCGCGGAGCGAGAAGCTCCGTTCGCTGTCTTCACCCTTGCGTTGGAGAGACTGAGCGTTAGTAGAGAAAACCAGTCTACTTAATGGTGAGGGTGAATCGGACACTGCAAGCTCATACCCTCCTTGACTCGATATTCTTCGCTCAGAATATGTCCTCCCAGACTCATTGTATGGTTTCTCTCATCGTTCTTTTTCCGCCGTATTTTGACATACAGAGTTCTTCGTTGTTTTTAATAGACAAGATGGACTTGAACAACTTCCTGCAGATCAAGTATAAGACGGCAGCACAAGGAATGGTACAATGGAGCAAATGGCCGACTGGGAAGCCTGGCTTTGAAACCTGGCATTCGCTTGTAAAAAGTAAGTTTCAATGTTCAAGAAAATTCATGAATGCTTACCAGCAAGCATCTAGTCGACGGCAAGGAATTCGCGGGGGAAGGGAAGAGTGTAAGAGAGGCAGAAAACATAGCAGCTGGAAAGGCTCTGGAGGTTCTGAGAAGAGCAGAGCAGCTCTGAGGATTTTATCCGACCTGGAGGCGCATTCATATTAACATTTACCACGATTGATATATTGATATGTCTACAGTAGGTAACTCATAGCCGAATTGAGCTTCGGAGTAAGCTGTGCAGACTGTCTTTTGCCTCACTTCAAAGCGCAGCGACATTGACGAGCAAGTTCCTACGGTCCAGTAGGTATAAGGATACAAAGGCATGCTATTTTCGCCGCTTTTCCGCTGTTATGCTTGCCCTGGCGTCAAATTTGCTTGATAAACCGGCGTGAGTTGGCAAAGAAGTTAGCTTGCCGAAACTTTCCCATCCTTTCCGTGCACGTCGGATCTTGATAACGCCTGCCAGCACCCGTCAACTTGATTGCGTTCCAGCACGACGCGCATCGGACCGGGTCTTCAAGCTTCAAGTATCGTCATCACTAGTCTACGCAGACACGGCGCAGGATATCGGAATGGCGTCTGTATCAAGCGCCACTGCCAATCTAAAGAACGTTTTAATCGTGGGATTTGGATCTGTTGGCGCAATATGTCAGTTTCCCTTCCTATGACGCTCGTTCCTTCCTAATCATGCGCTGTATGATCATTTACTGAACTTCTAAACCGTTCGTTGATACCATCAGATTCGTATATTCTCAAGAATAGCGGACATGCTCATGTTACAGCCGTTGCGCGAAGCAACTATGAGACTGTATGCGGTAAGCCTGATTTTACGTTTTTGATCTCTCGACCGATCATATGAGCTGCTTCTGTGCGTTCACAGCGGAGGGACTGCACATTCGAAGCCAGAAGTATGGCGATATCACGTCCTGGCGGCCAGATCGAAGTACGTGCGTTATCATCGCATCACAAGTACCTTCAAGTTGGCTCTATCAACCCGAAGGTGACCTCATCAGCCCGATTTAACTACCCCTGTCTTTGCAGTTGTAAAGTCAGTTGCCGATGCGGCTGATCGCCCCTACTCGTACGTTATCCTCTGCACGAAGGCAATACCAGAGCTGGCGACCACGCCTCAGGTGCTTGCACCTCTACTCTCGCCATTGTATGTGAGCCATCACGAGCAGCCTGTCTACGTCCTGCTGCAAAACGGCCTGGGCGTTGAGCGGGACTTGTACCATAGCGTCAAGGCGCTGGGAAAGGGAGAGCCGCGAATCCTGAGTACTGTGGTATGGATTGGAACCAACTTAAAGGGGAACGTTGTCGAACACAATAACTTTGTGGGTACATTCCTTCGCGTAGGAGTCCAGTAGGACCTGACAATGACCGATACACGTGGTAACGCCTGCAGGACAGAGTTACATTGGGTGTATACCGGCACGATGACCACCTCACCACAACGAACAAACCATCTGAGAAAGCGTTGCTGGATGACTTCGGCAGCATGCTGGAGAAGGGCGGCACGACACTGACAATTGTGCCCGAAATACAGCGCATGAAGTTCGCCAAGAACCTCTGGAACGTGGCTTTCTCATCGCTCTCCACGCTCACGGACTCGCCTTTGACAGCCATCTTCCGTCCTGCCCCGAGAGCGGACAGCGCATTGCGATACGAACCGTACGTCACACCAGTGACGGCTGATAAGGTCCAGGAACATACACTAGCTTCGTTGAAAGGGACACTGGGGGAGCTGATAGCACTGGGTAAACGATGGTCCTTGATCGACAAGCAGATGAGGCTAAATTCTGTTAGGACGCGCCATGGGCTACCCAGATAATCCAGAGGGACTCCCTTCAACCTTGATTAACAGTACCATCGAGAACACTGGCAAGCAGCACCAAGACCCGAACCATACGTATCTCCCCAGCATGTTGCTCGACGTACGAACGAATAAGCCAATAGAAGTGGAGGTCATCTTTGGTGAGATCGTGAGGATGGCGCGGAGATGGGATGTTCCTGTACCGGTACGCAGTTCTTCGCAAGTCTACTCTGAGCTTAGCTTTACTCAATAAGTTACAGAGAATCGAAACACTGTATGGGTTACTCACCGTGGTGCAGAACCAAATATTAGGAGGCCTGAGACAAGGCCAAAGGCAGTAATAGGCGCTACTACAGCACATTCTCGAGTAGCCATGCAGCTAATAATAGCATTCAATAACACTAGATTTAGTGGCGTATTGAGGGCGATTCGGAATCCTCAAATCATTCCTATCTAAGAATATTGAAAGGGGTTATTATTGAAGCCACTGTAAAGTGCGTAAATATTAATTGTTGTATAAAAGCAATCAAGTTTCCTCGCAGTGAAAAACGACTGTTGATAATAATATGTTTATCTTATCACGTCATTAATAATGGGCATTGGGTATGTTCGAATTTAGATTCAGATCAATTTAGCAACCTTTAGAAAGTATGCAAAATATATGTTGCCAGCGGTTTCTTGCTTGCTATAGAGTAACCTCAAGGGTATCAGATCGCGCGGCTTTGGCGCGGCTTGTTAAAACCCCCTTTTCTGAGCGCCACGTCTGCGCACTTTGACTACTTTCACACCGCGTAGACGCCGCCGTTATGCACCTGACCGTCACCAAGGAAGAGGCTTCTAAAGCCTGTCGTGCACATTAAGCGCGGGAGGCTTCCGAAGCCTCTTCTTGGCCTTTGCCGAGCACCTGCTGATGCACCCAGGTGCAGCGGCCTTTGTCGGCGGAAACCATTCCATTTATATACATAGTCCGAATACCACTCTCCGTGTAATCCCAACGCCTTAGATTAGATCAAATTAACGATTGTTCCTAGATTAGACGAGATAAAGACTCTATCTACGCCCGACATCGCCGGAACCCCCTGAGCTCCCCTGAGTAGTGTCCCACCCCGCCCCGGGGCTATTAACCCCCGCCCTCCCGCCCTCCCGCCCAGACTCCGCCCTGGCTAAGCCCCTCCGGTGAATTCCGGCCCTGCCCCCTGTCCCCTTTTCCCACTGTCCCGCCCTTTCCCGCCCTTGTCCCCTCCCCGCCCTTGTTCCCTCCC